GCCCAACCTTCCTTCCGAGGAGTGGCTGGTGGGTTTGAACCGCCAGCCTTCTGGTTAGCAGTCAAGTGCTTTAGCCACTATGCTACCAGAGCTCGTGCCGTGGAGTCAGACCTGACTCACAGCGACCCCTCCTTTGGTTTCCAAGGCAGTATCACTACAGAAGTAGATTGCCCAACCTTCCTTCCAAGGCATGGCTGGTGGCTTTGAACCACTAGCATTCTGGTTAGCAGTCAAATGCCTTAGACACTATGTTATCAGAGCTATATATACTATTTTTATTTAGGGTTTACAAGTGTTTTTCAGTATACAAGAGTTGTACAATTAGAATGTATGTGTTTGTTTAAAAAGTGAATTTCTAAAGTGGGTTGTTCCTTCTCATAAGGTCAAATGAAGAAGTGAAGTAATTATCAGGCTCATGTTCAAGTACCTCTATTCTTTCCCCTGTATTCTATATACAATAGATTCTTTCTCTTGGCAGTGCAGGAAGGAAGGGAAAATATTGTAGTCGGCTATACTTTGTCCTTTTGGATATTGAAAATACTATAAAGTGCGAAGAATTCAATGTTAATTTATCTAGGTATTATATATTATTTTTTTGTTCCTCTTTACTTTCCTGACTAAATTACTTTAAATAGTCACTGATATCAATCTTTAGGAAAACAGTGGTTTCTAGTTAAGGAAAAGTAGGCCAGAGATAATGTTCTTTCCTCCATTTTGCTCCTTGCTATCTTGACATATGGTCTACTATCTTGACATCTTTCAAACCAAAACTTTGACATCGTGGAAGAATCTAAAAGTAAACTAAAGTTATCAATGCCATATGCAAAAACTAACACAACAGAACTGAGTTATATATTTTCTGTATCTGGAAAGCCTGGTCCTATTCACCCTGCTAATCAAAGTCCCATTTACTCTTTCAGTCTCAGCTCAAGTCCTGCCTCTTCCATGAAGTTTATTTGCTTAGGACCATGTTGTTCTTACTACTACCTTACCTTATAACTCTTATCACATCATAATTCCTCCATGTCTCTAAGCTTTATCGTTAATAAAACTGTTCTGATACATTGTGTGGGGGTGGGAGCAGAATTTTCTACTTCTTTTGTACTGACAAAGTATAGAGCATAGAAAGCTGTTTGTCGTATTGTGTTTCAAGGAAACTAAAACTCTGAGAGACTTTAAAGGGTATTCCTTGGGGCCGACAAATAAATAAATAAATAAATAAAACCATGGTCTAATATGAGGAAATTGGGCTAAATAAACAAGCATCTCTATAGCAGAGTTTCTCAGAATCCTTAATAAGCTAATGTGAATTATGATGCTTCAAAAGTGGAATATAGTTTTAAATGGTTTCTAAACTTATTTGACCATGCAATGCTTTTCACCCCCTGTAGAAATTCTATTATACTAATGTTCTCTGTTATGCAGTTTGGAACATACTAATACAAAGGATTTTCCATTGATTCTTGTGGAATTGAACTAAGACCTGCTCCTTGGTGAAAATCAGGCACCTCCTGGTGCACCATGAATTATTTCAGTTATTATGATAACTGGTGTGTCTAATTAAAATTCAAAAGTAAATAGTTAAGCCCCTGGTTAGGAAATATTCTTTACTTTCACAAAAAGAGGTTGCAAAAGGCATGATTACTGGTTAGAGTTGTTTTCCTTTTTAATTTCTGGTAAAATATTTGCTGAATGAGTAAAACAGAGAAAGAAATTCAACAATATGATGCACAACTATAACAGAACTTTGTGGTACACAAGCTAGAATTAATGAGTTGGCTGGTTACCAGCAGTCACAACCAGGTCACCACCTGATCTGCAAGGGTGGCTGCAGGGGATACCAGAAGACTGTGGGAAGATGGTGGGCCTGAAATGAGCTTGGAAGAAGACTAGCATCTGAGTTTGAAGCTGCTCTGTATCTAAGGAGTGCAGGAGTTTACAAAGAAGGATTTGAATGAATGTTAAAGGAATGTTGGTAAAGATCCTCTCTATTTCAATCTCCTGTATTCTTTTTAAAACTTAAGAACAAATAAAAAAATTGGTGCCTTAAAATAATTTATTTACCTTTAAATCATACATGGATATGAGCCTATCCAGTAGTTTACAGAGGTCAAGGGAAGTATGAATGGCTGAAATGTACCAAGTGATGTGTACTGGCTAATAGATTATATCAATACAAATCACATACCATCTCCAGGGTCAACAATTTCCACTGTTGCCATTTCCGGAAACTCCAAATGCAGCCATGACAGGGTCTGACAGAACAATCTGGAAGGTCTCTGAAGCCTCGTATTCATTGTCGGGTATAATTCTCACCCTCCATGTGGCTGCAGTCTGTCCAGGATTGAACTGGACCAGTTCCTGGGCATTTCTTTTAAAATCTTTATTTTTTTTTGCAGTTTCATCTTTGGTCCCAACGCCTGAATGAAAATCAAGAAACTATAAATATAAAGCTAAACAACTGAAGGAATATTCTTTTGAAGTAGTTTCTGTTGATGAAAAGTACATAACATAGAAATTGCTTCTTTTAGGGCTCCCAAAAGACATTTCTAAACTACCCTTATTGGCTAAAAGAGTGTAAATAAGAAGTGAGAAGAAAGCAGGGAAGGGAGAATGATAGGTCAAGATAGAGAAGAGAGAACATTCATTAACCTGTTGATTATGTTACCAAATACAGAAGGAAAAGTGACAGAAAAGGGAGAATATAGAGAATCGTCATTAGCCTATTTGTTATTCTAACAAATGTTTATTGAAGGCCCCTGATATTACCAAACTCTTCCAGGTGCTGGAGATTAAATGATAAGCGAGAAACTGTCCCAAGGCCCTAGAAAAATCACAGTCTAAAGAAGATGAAAGTGGAATGTAAAGTCTATAATGGCAGAGATTTTTGTTTTGTTCCCTGATGACTCGATGGTATATAGGACAGTGTCTGGGGCATGGCAGGTATTCAAAAACTTTGTTGAGTGAATGTTTTGTATCAGATAATTCCAATTTGTGCAGTCTTCGGAAGAATGACTCTAGTTTGTTTTCTCGTGCAGATCCTCTTTCATGATGGCTTTTTTCCTTCCATTTTAGTGATTTTTGATTACAAAGAAATTGCTAGCAATTTTTCCAGACAAGTAGGACAGTGTCAGTGGAAATGAAGAGGTGGGGATAGATTTGCAATCTGCTAGGAAACAGGACTTAGTGACTTACTGAAGAGACTGAACAACAACAACAGAAAAATAGTGTTGAAAATACCCAATGTAAGATGTAAGGGTGAAATATGTTACTTTATCTAGTCTGAATAGATTCTCCCTCGTATCAAAAAGTTCAAGCAGCATTCTGGTATTATCTGGATTTGATTTCAATTTTTCAATGAAGATCCAATGAAGCAAGAATACCCATGCTTCACCAGTTTGTCTCATTATCAGTTTTAGACATAAATCAAGATTAAGAGTCCCTTGTGCCAATTTCTTGGCTTCATTTTCAGAGCTTCTGATGTCTTGTAAATAATGCCCAAAGCTATAATAATTTCCAAGATAGGTTAGCTAGTGTTGACTTTTCAAAATAGTCAAAGAAAATCTGTTTGCTAACAGAGTGAATATCTGATATTTAGGAAAAGCCTCATCTGGCCACATGTTAAAGAGCTCTGGTGGTGCAGTGGTTAAAATGCTCAGCTCCTAACCAAAAGTTGGGTGGTTCGAACCCGCCAGCTTGTCAGCAGGAGAAAGGTGTGATAGTTAGCTTCCGCAAAGATTGCAGCCTCGGAAACCTTATGAGGTGGTTCTATTCCAACCTATAGGATCACCATGAGTTGGATTCCACTCAACAGCAGTGAATATTTATTTATTTATTTATTTGGTCACATGCTGGAAGTGGAAAAGATAAAGAAGAGTGTGTGGCATCTTCAGCCAGAGTTTACATAGAGCTAGGCAACACTGCCATGTGAATTGAGTGGGCATGTGACTATTTAATATTTGTTGAGCACCAGCTCTGTGCTATGTGCTGAGAATGTAATGCTGAATTAGACACAGCTGTCACTAAAAAGATAAGCAGAGAAACAAGCGACTTCAATTCCATTTGCTGAGTTCTATGGAATAATAATGGTAGTTAGCATTTACTTAGCATCTACTGTGTGCCAGGGTATATGCTATAGTGATTTACAACAAATATTATATCTAATCCATAAGAAAATCTTGAGATGGGTACTTTACAGATCAGAAAATGGAGGTTCTTCTCAATGTCACAAAAATAAGTAAGTAGCAGGGCAGGAATTCAAACCACATTTTTTTTTTTTTCTTTTTTTTGTGTGTGTTTCTTCTAGGTTATGTGCTTTGGGTATAGGAAGGCTTTCTTGAACATAAATAAGATGTTTTGGAGATCGATTTCCGTGGTTTGTTGTTGTTGTTGTTATATGCCGTCGAGTCAGACCTGACTCATAGCGACCCCTCCTTGGGTTTCCCAGGCAGTATCACTATGGAAGTAGATTGCCCCATCTTCCTTCTGAGGAGTGGCTGGTGGGTTTGAACCGCCAGCCTTCTGGTTAACAGTCAAGTGCCTTAGCCACTATGCTACCAGAGCTTCCATGGTTTAGACAGAGTTTAAAGTGGTGTTTTATAGATCAGAAGGGCTAACTGTTCTCTCAACAGCCAATATTGCCTCATACTACTCTCAGAGATGGGCATAACTCAAGATATTGTTCTTGCCCTTAAGGAGCTGGAAATCTATGGGGAAAATAGTGGACAGGTAGACATGTGATGTATGTCAGGGGATGGAAAGTGCTATGAAAAATTAAAGCAGGGCTTGTGATAATGTAGCAGAGATACTGGTTCAGATAGGGTGCTGAGGAAGGTTGCCCTAAGAGATTTCACCAACAAACCAAACTCACTGCCATCGAGTCAATTCCAACTCATAGTGATCTCCTTTGGGTTTCTGAGGCAGTAAATCTTTACGGAAGTAGATTGCCCAGACTTCCTTCTGTGGAGTGGCTTAGTCAGTCAACAACTCTTCAGATTGTTCTGGGCAAGTACATGGTATTTTCCTCAACAAGGGTATGAAAATAAGACTTAACATAATAACTCAAATATGCCCACAAGAAGGCCTCAAGATAAAGAATTGTGGAAGCAGAACCCCACAGAAGAAAAGAAGCATATTTCTGCTGAAGTTTCTGGCAGAAAGTTTCATGGTGTGTTGACAAAGTAACCTGGAGTGAAGACTGAGGCTGAAGAGCACCCAGACATCAGGGTGCTCTTTGGCTGACTTTTTCTCCTAGGAGATGGGTCCTACCTGGTGCTGGAGAGGCTGAAAAAGCCTGTTGTCTAGAGAGGAGACCAGGCAACAAGCCCCACCCCTCCTCTTTTTTCACTTGCTTCTTTTCTCCCCAGCCCATTGCCTTCCTGGCTAATCTCCATCAGTGTTGGTATGTTTTCAGGACTCTGAGTGGGATCCTGATATCTGGAAAACTCAGAATGCTCATTTATAAAGAGAAAGAAACACACCCTTCTCTGTCTTCTTAGTAGGTTGTGGAAATCAGTGCAAAATTATCTCTGAAAGTTCTGGCAGCTAAATATGTTACAGAAATATAATGCATTGTTACGGTAATTATTTTTAATTATTAATGATGATAATGGGATATATTATGTCAGCATTACTTATCTGTTTACTCTAAGGAGGGATAATTCTGTTCTAGGTCCTTGTAGAACATTGAAAAATTTGACATTATACATGTCCTCAAGGAATTTATAACCTAATAGCAGGGTTAAAACAATTATAAATAATCAAAATAAATAGCTAGACCTAAACACAATAATGCATCATGTACTCATAAAGAATTTTTCAAAAGAAATAGCTAGAATTAAACATAAGGTATTATATACTTAAAAAACATTCAGAAAGAAACAGAGTGACTTGTGGATTTTGGTTACAGAATGTCTTAATTTTCCTGGGCTCCCTTAAATTGTTAATTTAAAAGAAAGAAAGAATGTAACTTGCCAGAAAGAGGAAACCAGAAAAAGGAGGATAAAAATGTGATGTGCATAACTTACATGGAGCAAAAATCAAAGCACAGTTTCACACATATACCTTTATAGGAGTTCCCCTAAACCAGTTATTCTCTTCCAATCTCTTCTCTCAAAATTATTTTTAAGCCTAGATTTCATTTTTCCATTACCTTCTGTCATCAACCAATCCAAAGTTCCTTACTGATAAAGGATGTTTCTGCAACGTATCCTCTGCGTGTGATGGTCACTTCCAAGAATGTGGTGTCTTCATCTACAATGTAGTACTCTCTCTCCAAAGAAATCCAAGCCCAGTTTAGATGGAAAGGTTGATTTGTTAATTTATTTACTCCTGCAATTGATAGGGGAAAAGAAGAAGTCTGCTGGAGTATTTGTTGGAAAAATTGCAGTGACAAAGTTTGCCTTTTCTTTCTGCAACCAAGTATTCCAACATACATGATACATATTTTTTGTGGAAAGAGAAAAAATTCTTTGCTTTTCTAGAGAACATTGTGAGCCCCATTGTAAATCCTGCTTCCTCTGCTTAATGTGGAGAAAACCAGGTGTCTGTTATTCATAAAGGGTCTTATGTACAGTAATACCTGTGAAAGCTGGAACTTGTGTAAGGCAGAAACCTATTAGAGGAGGAAAAATGGTAAGATTGCACACTGTCAAAGGTGGAAAACTTGCAAGACCCAGAAAAACAAGGTAGTCTTGTTGAGTTCTGGCTCACACAGTTTTCACTGTACCAAGGCTCTTAAGAGCCAAAACTTGGTAGTTTTAAACTTATACTCAACATCTCCACTCTTTCATCCCTGCCTCCCCCTCTCCTTTCTTAGTTTCCTTCCTCTTGTCTTTTCTCCCTTGCTTTATTCCGTCTGTTCTCTGATTTACTACCTTGTATTATTTGTGGGGAATCCCTGGATGGTGCAAATGGTTAATGATCTTGCTCTGCTGCTAACTGAAAGTTAAAGGCCCAAGTACATTCAGAGGCTCCTTGGAAGAAAGGCATGGAAGCTTACTTCCAAAGGCCACCACTCGCCACCCATCCACTGCCATCGAGTTGATTCCAACTCATAGTGACCCTTCATTGGGTTTCCAAGACTGTAAATATTTACAGAAGTAGATTGTCTCATCTTCCTCCTGCGGAGCAGCTGGTTGGTTTGAACCATTGACTTTCTGGTTAGCAGCCAAATGCCTTACCCATTACTCCACCAGAGCCACAGTCATTGAAAACCCTATGGAGAGCAGTTCTATCACAAGTTGAAGTTGACTAGGCAGCAACTGGTTAATTGTTTGTGTACTTATTTGTTTTCACCTTAGTATAGAGGACCCTTGAAGTAGTGTATACATCATATTTACTTATTTTGTCATTATCAGGACCTAGTATGGTGTTTTGAACTTTAGGACTTAGAAGTTTAAAGTATACCCAAGGAGAGGACCACAAACAAGAATATAAGAGCTCTATTCTGATTTCTCTTACTCACACCAGGTCACAGACCTTTTTGCTGAGAATCAGCTGAAACCATTATTGGGGTTGTATAAAGTGTATGGATTGGAAGAAAGAACAGGTATCTTTCAGCTGGGGAGTGAATGCTGCAAATAATTGCTTGTGGAAGGATGTTAAAATATGATTCTTTATGATTCAGTTTTCATGGACCAATATAATAGATATTAGATATCAAAACAAGTTTGAGACAAAGCACCATATGCAAGTTTACAAAAGAAAGCTTTACTAACCAGTTTCAAAACTACCAAGCCCCTTAACAAGATCAAGCATATGAAAAGGGGAAATTTGTCAAAAATGGGAAGAAAGAGTACCTTAGAAAAAGGTACTGTCATAATGGGAATTCAAGAAAGATATAAGCAGGAAATAAGGCTACCTTTTTCATCTCCACATATCTTCCTGTAGTTGGAGGTCCAAGTGACTGATTTCATTTTTTAAAAAGTTTAAGTGAACTTGGCAGGGAGAGAGAGCATGTTGTTGTCATTAGCTTTTATCCCATTGGCTCCCATTTCATGCCAACCTCATGCACAATAGAACGAAATGCTGCCTCATGCTGTGCTATCCCATGATTGGTTGTAGATTGGACCTTTGTGATCCATAGGGTTTTCATTGGCTGATGTTCAGAAGTAGATCACCAAGCCTTTATTTCTAGTCTGTCTTACTCTGGAAGTTCTGATTAAATCTATTCACATCATAGAAGCAAACAAGCCTCCACTGACAGATGAGTGGTTGTTGTGCATGAGGTGCTTTGGCCTGGAATCAAACTGGGATTTCCTTCGTGGAAGGCAAGAATTCTACCACCGAACAACCAATGTTTCATAAAGAGCGCACAGAGGCCTGTATTTGGGAAGCTAGTGAGCATCCACAAAAGGTGAGACAAGAAAAGCATGTATGTGAACCAGATATGGGTCATGTGCCCATTAAAGGCCATTAACAAGGCAATGGGGTCTCATTAGGAAGGAATGGGAAGCTGACCACCAGAATCCCATGGCCTGCAGAGGTAGTGAGAGAAAAGAATTGCAGGTGAAAAGTCTCCAGAAGTAGCAATCTTCAAGGAAGCCTTGACATTATCGACTAGAGAATGACTCTTGTTTAAATAGCTGCTACCCAGGCCCCTCCCAACATCAGATAGCTATGAGTACTTCTCACACTAGAGTATGATCTGTTTCTCTCATTCTCTCTTTTCCTGGGCTCAACCCAGGAAGCATAACAGCTCTGTTAGTAGGCTAGGGGACTTGTGAACAGAGAACGAACTGAAGCTGACCTCATTCCTGCTCTGACCCACAGCTGGCTTCACCAGTGGGGAAGCCAAGAAGATTTAACCCAAAACAAGTTCTGAGATTTGATTGTTAGTTGGGAGTGTAAATTCTAAAGATCAGATTGACACCTTTTCTGATTTAATAAGATTATAAGATGTTTTTTATCAGAGAGGGTAAGGATCCTTCCTGCCAATCATAATCACTATATGAAAAAAACCAAAAAAAAACAAAAAAACAAAAACAAAAACCAAACTCACTGCCGTTGAGTCAATTTTGACTCATAGAGACCCCTCTTTGGGTTTCTCAGGTGGTATCTCTCCAGAAGTAGATTGTCCAGTCTTCCTTCTGAGGAGTGGCTGGTGTGTTTGAACCACCAACCTTCTGGTTAGCAGTCAAATGCCTTAGGCACTATGCCACCAGAGCTCCTTATGATAAAGGGTATACAAATAAAATTGTATTACATTTTAAATTGATTACAATGAAAATCATGCTTATTTGGCATACCATTAGCTCACTGACGTATAATTGTGACATAAATCCATGTTTATTTTTATGTGTTTACTCACCATCTGCCTTCTCTCTTTCTATTTAAAAAGAAAATATCATTATGAATAATGTTGCGAAGAATGGGAATTCCAGAACACTTAACTGTGTATGTGAAGAATCTGTACATGAATCAAGAGACAGTCATTTAAACAGAACAAAGGGAAAACCAGGCAAGTATCCTGCATGGCTTAAAACTGGAAAAGGTATGTGGCAGAATTGTATCTTTTCGCCACGCTGATTCAATCTATATGCTGAGCAAATAATCTGAGAAGCTTCACTATATGAAGAACAATGCACCATCAGGATTACAGGAAGACTCATTCACAACCTGTGACATGCTGATGACACAGCCTTGCTTGCTGAAAATGAGGAAGACTTGAAGCACTTACTGATGAAGATCAAAGACTACAGTTTTCAGTATGGATTGTACTCAATGTAAAGAAAACAAAAATCCTTACAATTGGGCTAAAAATTAACATCATGATAAATGGAGAAAAGATTGAAGTTGTTAAGAATTTCATTTTACTTGCATCTACAATCAACACCCATGTAAGCTGCAGTTAAGAAATCAAATGATGTATTGCACTGGGCAAATCTGCTGCAAAAGATCTCTTAACAGTCTTAAAAAGGAAAGATGTCACTTTGATTACTAAGATGGGCCTGACCCAAGCTATGCATTCAAATTGTGGAGTTGGTGAAGAATATTGAATATATTAGCGAGTGTCAGAAAAATGAACAAATTGATCTTGGAGGAAGTATAGCCAGAATGCTCCTTAGAAGCAAGGATGACAAGATATCACCTCACTTACTTTGGACATGTGATCAAAAGGGTCCAATTGCTGGAGAAGGACATCATGCTTGATAAAGTAGTAGTTGTTATTGTTAGGTGCCGTCTAATCATCCCTAACTCATAGCAACCCTATGTACAGCAGAACGAAACACTGCCCAGTCTTGTGCCAGCCTCATGATCCTTGCTATACTTGAGACCATTGTTGCAGCCACTGTGTCTATACATCTCGTTGAGGGCTTTCCCCTTCTTTGTCAACCCTCCGCTCTACCAAGCATGATATCTGTTCTGGTTACCTAGTGCCACTCTGACAGGAATATACCACAAATGGGAAGGCTTTAACAAACAAGAGTTTATTCTCTTACAGTTTTAGAGTTTAGAAGTCCGAGTTCCAGGTGCCAAGCTCCAGGGGCTGGGTGAAAGCCTCTTGACCTTGAGTTTCAGTTCTGCCTCTTGCTTCCAGTCCACTGAAGATAGAGACATCTCTTCATTTAGGCAGCTGCTAGCTGCTGAGGCTGACAAACTCAAGGTCAACAAGTAAAAGCCACAAGATGTTACCAAACCACATGGCAGACCATTAATTCAAGACAATCGAAAGTCCCAAGATCAGCAAAGCAACATGGCAAGCTGCTGAACAGTGACTTAGCATGCAGGATTCAAGTGTACCACAAGCTAGAGACCATTTTCCAAGGCTTCTCCTTAAATACAGGAAGCAGACCATGTGAAGCCTGAGTCCTAATAGCCTCCAGGGAAATCTTTAACCAGAAGCCTTTTAGTGTCAGGAATTCTAACAAGTCTTTTAATGTTGGGGATTCTAAACACTCCTATGCTTCAGGGCTTTTACCTACCCTCCGGACTCAGCAGGTATCAGAGATTTCCTCCGGATTCAGCGCGTTTCAGAGATTTGCCTGGCTCCTGAGGTCTCCCACGTATCAGGACTCTGTGTCCTCCCTAGATAATAGTTCCCTAAGTGGATTTTGGAGCCGGGGGATTCCAACACGTCCCCCAACATCTCAGATCCCTGCCCTAAAACCCCTTAGCAACGACCAATCATCTGTACCCCTTTGCCCTGGTGCTACTCCACCCTATATTTTCCTATAAAAATGTGATAGCAATGGAGCACGAGGTCTTTTGCCTTGGCCACTGCGTTGGCAAGAGCAGGGACCCTAGCTCGAGCTAGCTAATAAACTTTCCTTTTGCTTTTGCATTATCATGTCTGTGGTGACTTCCTCGCGCCGACATTCCTTTCCGGA